CCAAACCCACTCATATGATGTGAGTGATAGTATGCATTCCATTTGCATATCCAAACTATTCATTTTATACACTTTTTTTCTTATTGATGATCACACAATAAATCCAGGATTTTATATTGGTAAAAGGAGATGTTTTAAGTAGCTTACTGTATCATCCTAAGGAATAAACTTATTATCAGAGCTCTAAGCTGAAAGATAAAATAATTTTAGGTGCTCTTTTCCAAAATCCCATTTGCTGCCATTCATTTGAGGGTGTACGCATTTGCAACAGTTGCAGGTCTGGTATGGTGCAGTTGTGTTTAGCTTGTATACCCATGTACAGCTAACATGATTTTTGAAATTGGGGGTAAGGTGAAACTTTGGTTGAAATTAGTTTTCTTTAAATTTATTCAGTCATTTGAGAGCCTGTCACAGAGTAATATGTATCTGATTGGTTTACTACATTATTTTCCTGTTCTTAGTTGTTTTCTGTTGCATTGCATTGTACCAGCTACCATCATTGTTTTGTATATATGATAGGGTTAAAAACTTGGAAAGTGTATGATTTTGGAAAGTAAAAAATATAGAAGGGACAAAAAGAAAAAGTTTCATTAAGAAAAAAATCCATATAGGAACACACTTGTTATATGTTACTGATATAATATATTTTTGTGAAAGAGCAGATTTGAAAGAAATTGCTTTATTATTCCATAATAGGCTTTTTATAACAGGTTTATTATTCATTAAATTTATACTGGTATCATCAGTATTATTATTTGTACATCAAAGAATAGAATAGAAGGGTCTTCTGGTTCAAGTATAGTGAAATCTTTTATATCCATGTATAGTTGAAGAAATTGCATGTACAGAATTATTTGTACATTGTAAATTTATATGAAAATGGAAATGTGTTAACTTTCTACTTATCAGATACTGTACATCTTATTGATATTTCTTTTGTGGCTATTTAATGTTTGGATACTTTTATTGTGTGTGCATTTTGGGTTATAAGTGGACTGTTGATTTATAAAAACTCACAGAATTGTCCCATCTTTAACAGTAGATCATTTTAATTTTAAAATTTCTCATTGTACTTTAAATTTGTAATGGTAACATTTCAAAGTTGATGGGAGCCAGTGAATAAGATATATATAATTTTGTCATCACATCCAATTTTATAGTTCTAGGAACTATTTTCCTTCTCAGTTCTTTATTATTTTAGGCTAAGTAATTGTAAATGTTGGATTTTAAAAGATAAGTTCATGTATTGAAGTACTTATGTGTATTCATATAGATTAATATGCATGAATGCAACTGAGCAGATGAAGAGTGAGGACATGTGTTACTTGCAGGTCAGTCCCAAGAAAAAGAAACGTAAAATGGATGTTGATAGCACCCCAGTTTTGTCGTTCCTTCCTCTGGAGGTAAACGTACGTGCAGTCCTACAAGAGAGCATGCATGGACTGGTGGACCTTGTACAAGTTGCAGCTCTGCAGGTTAGAGAGAAGAAGCTGACATCACGTGCAGTCAAGGAACTGGCGATCAAGCTGCCTGTTTCCTCATTAAGTCACTTGAAAAGAGTGAAGAGGATTGTTTCATGTGCAAAAGCAGGTGAAGACATTTCAGAAACTAAACTTGGAAGAGAGGATGCAATGGTTGTATACTTGGACTACTTGGAAAACTTTGGCATTCCATGTATAGAGCACTGGGAGGGTGATAATATCAACATCCTGACTGCAGATGATTCTGCCAAGGTTTTGACCAGGCTCAAGGAGAGTGACATTGACACTTCCCTGTTTGAGGAACGGGTGTTTGCCTCCAAAGTGGCCAAGTATGCTCCAAGAATAAGGAAAATATATGATCAGGCAGCCTTGTACTGGCCCTGCACATTCCATGAAGATACTTATCTTACACAGCTTTCTTCTTCCAATTTCTTCAGTGAGGAAGAGGTGAAGTTGATTGTCCACAACATGAATAAAGCAATCCAGTTAGGTCACATAGCCAGCAAAAATGGGGCCCCAGCCATTGGAACTGTCATAGTGAATGATCTGAAAGGTACTATAGTTGGTCAAGGCATTGATGCTAGGCACAGACACCCATTGCAACATGCTGTAATGTTGGCTGTTGATGATGTATCCCATCAGCAAGGAGGTGGAGCATGGTCAAAGCAGAAGTTGCCATCACAAATTGATGATGAATTGCATTTTGTGGATGGTGAAAATGGTGAATTAGAAGCAGGGACTGATGCATCAAGACCAGCCAGCTGTGCAGATGAAAATAGAGTCCAGAAGTCTGAGGAAAAAAATAATTGCAATAATGCAAGTGATGTTAACACTCAGAATAATGCAACCAGTAATCCTATATTTGCTTCTCAGAGTATAAACTGCAACAGTGCATGTGAAAGTATATCATACATATGCACTGGATTTGATGTGTATATAAGTCATGAACCATGCATGATGTGTGCCATGGCACTTTTGCATTCAAGGGTGTGCCGTATATTCTATGCCTGCCCACAGCCTCAGTTTGGTGCTCTTGGGTCACTTACTAAGTTGCATACTCTCCCAGGGATCAATCATAGATATGAAGTCTTTACAGTCACAAAAAGATGAGTTAGCTTGTTGATAGAGAGGAACAAAATGGATTCAGTACAAGTAAACTCCTTGTCTTATTGAAGATTTCACCAAGTAACTGGATTTTTTTTTAGATTACAATAAAGATATGTTGTAATATGATGTTTCATTCTGTAATACTTGACTTTTTTGTTTTTACGTTACTGAGCAAGTCTATAGCATTCATATTTTTGTCGATTTTTCTTCTTTTCTCTGGCAACTAGTCTTTAACACAATTGGTACAGATGGCAAGAATACATGCCATGCCCACAATAATATAAGTTCAGTTATTGTATTTACACATAATTGGCTCTACAAGTGCTTATTCACCAAGGAGTCAGTTATTAGTCTGACCTTTCTCACTTGTTTACCCTTCTTGATTTTGGAAAAATGTCTTTCAAACTATTTCATTGTCTTTAATCTTACCAATATTTTAATAATGATTTGATAATCATGATATCAATAAAAATGATAACAGTATAGATATCAATAGTGCTAGAAAGAAAAAAAAAATCCCACAATTTCAAGGAATGGGGAAATCAGCAGTGGTCATTAGGGGCTACTGATAGACTCCTTACTGGCTGAGCACATGTGGAGCCATCTGTATGTGACAAAATTCACACAAAAAATACAGGAGACAGAACATAAATCTGTGGTGATTAGGTTAAGCTTAGTACAGGATAAGGTTTTAACTTATTTAAATTTTGGTTATACCATTGGAAAGTTTATGAAGGTTTACAGAACCTTCTAGTTCTTGATTAATAGAATTATGCTCCTTTTTCCACTCCAAATTTCAGAAATACCGAACAATGATTTCTTTGAATACTTTTTTATACTAGAGACATTTATGAAAATGATAACAATATTAATATTAATAGTGATAGTAATAATCATTGCAGGACACTTTACCCCATAATCCTTTCTGATTGCATACACAAATAGATTTGGCTCCAAAAGATGTTAAATGTAGTACACATAATATCCTAAATTTAAAAATAGTAAAACTATTTTTTCATTAACTCTTATCAGTTTTATCCCCTCCTTCCAGAGGACAGCCAACTTAACTTCATATCTTGAGTTGAACCATATTCATGTTGACAAATGTAGAAGAGGTATGAATGAATATTTGGGAATGAATATTTGACCAGTTTTGATTATATCTTCGTCAGAAATACATGTATTTCTGACAAAGATATTATCAAAACAGGTCAAATACATCTTTTGTAATGTGAAGATGTTCATTCCCATTCATACCTTTTCTACATGTATACTGAGTTGCAAATTGTTTCTCATTCTTTATAATAAGTATTCATGTACACAATATAGGATAGTAAGATTAAATCAGAAAAAATCATTCACATTTTGAATGTTTGAAATATCACTAGAAAAAATTATAAACTTTGATTTTGATAACCTTGTGGACATTTCTGCATATATATATACATACATACATACATACATACATACATACATACATACACACACATATACACACAGTGTATCTTATTTCCTGTAGTATATGATTTATAGTTATGGTACTGAAGCATATCACTGCAGAATATCCTTACTTTGTTTTATGTCATTTGGAAAATCAAATGAAATCTTTGATTCTCATTCTGCTTACATGCACATACTCTACACTACACAAACTTAAATTTACACAACATAATGCAGCTTCTCCTACCATAGTCATAGCCGGGAGAAGCAGTGGCTATTGAACCATGATGGCAAACAATTGCTCTCCAGTCTTACCTTGTTGTCAAGTATAAATTCAGGCCAGCAGAAGAGGATTGTTACCCTTTGGTCTGGTTTTCATGTTTTCTTACTGAGGTTTAAACTTATATATAAATAGTGATGAGAAAATTCAATAACAATAGGAAATAGAAAGGTATTGCCTCTCCTTCAGTTTCTTCCTTTTATTACTTTTTCTATGCTGATTCCTTTCTCTTTCCCAGTTTCCCTCTATTCCTTTCAGTGTCTCTTTCTTACCCTCACATTTCCTCCCTGTCTCCTTTATTTTCTGTTGTTGTTTTTTTCTGTCTGCTCTCCCACCATCCTTTATTTACTTTTATCTCTTGGTTTTCCCTTTTTCTACCTCTGGCCTTCATTTTCATTCTCTTTCTCTCTACCATTTGTCCATCCTTTTCTTTTACCCTCAATCTATCTCTCCCCCCTTCCATCTCTACCCCATCTTATCTTCACTTCCGCCCTCTCTAACTTTTCTCTGCTTTCCTCTCTCCCACCCTCTTGTCCACCCTCTTCCCCTGTCTCTCCCACCCCTGTCTTTCATTTCCACCCCCTCCCCCTCTCTTCCACTCTCTCCTCCTCTCTTCCACCCTCTGTTCATATCTCCTTCACTTCTATTCTTCCCCCACCCCTCTCTCTCTCTTTCTCTTTCTCTCTTTTTCT